GAGATACATAAATGTGCATTATGTGAGGAAGAGGAGGGTAGCCATGTGCCACCCAGTGAATGGAAATAGTCACAGAAAAAAGTAGCAGGAAAAAAAATTAGGTTAAGTTAGGCTAGATTAAGTTAGCTTACGTTACTTTTTAGGTTTGCCGATACTAACTACAGTGGACCCCTGAATTAAGACGTCATCGGATTAAATAACTTTTTTGCGTCAAAATATTGGCTTGGTTAATGACACCGAACTCGGTAAAAGTCATTCGTCCCGAACATGTCCGCACGCCATGAGCAGCCCGGACACTCCATGTATAGCCAGTGTGCCATTGTTTACCAGCCAGTGAGGACGATTCCACGCGTACATGCGATACATTTTGTATTATTCCATTGTAACTGCTAATTAAGCCACCATGGGTCCAAAGAAAGCTTCTAGTGCCAGCCCTTTGGTAAAGAGGGTGAGAAACACTATAGAATTCAAGAAAAAGTTTGTAGAAAGATACGAAAGTGGTGGTGATAGAGGGTGGTATTGGTAGTATGGGCCAACAGATCTGCTGCAGTGTTCCTCCTTTCTTACATACACCAGCCAGGGTACTTCCCCACACACCAGCCAGGGTACTTCCCCACACACCAGCCAGGGTACTTCTCAACACACCAGCCAGGGTACTTCCCCACACACCAGCCAGGGTACTTCCCCACACACCAGCCAGGGTACTTCCCCACACACCAGCCAGGGTACTTCCCACACACCAGTTAGGGTACTTCCCCACACACCAGCCAGGGTACTTCCCACACACCAGCCAGGGTACTTCTCCACACACCAGCCAGGGTACTTCTCCACACACCAGCCAGGGTACTTCCCCACACACCAGCCAGGGTACTTCCCCACACACCAGCCAGGGTACTTCCCCACACACCAGCCAGGGTACTTCCCCACACACCAGCCAGGGTACTTCCCCACACACCAGCCAGGGTACTTCCCCACACACCAGCCAGGGTACTTCCCCACACACCAGCCAGGGTACTTCCCCACACACCAGCCAGGGTACTTCTCCACACTCCAGCCAGGGTACTTCCCCACACACCAGCCAGGGTACTTCCCCACACACCAGCCAGGGTACTTCCCCACACACCAGCCAGGGTACTTCCCCACACACCAGCCAGGGTACTTCCCCACACACCAGCCAGGGTACTTCCCACACACAGCCAGGGGTACTTCCACACACACCAGCCAGGGTACTTCTCCACACTCCAGCCAGGGTACTTCTCCACACACCAGCCAGGGTACTTCTCCACACTCCAGCCAGGGTACTTCTCCACACTCCAGCCAGGGTACTTCTCCACACTCCAGCCAGGGTACTTCTCCACACTCCAGCCATGGTACTTCTCCACACTCCAGCCAGGGTACTTCTCCACACTCCAGCGAGGGTACTTCTCCACACTCCAGCCAGGGTACTTCTCCACACACCAGCCAGGGTACTTCTTCACAGTCCAGCCAGGGTACTTCTCCACACTCCAGCCAGGGTACTTCTCCACACTCCAGCCAGGGTACTTCTCCACACTCCAGCAGGGTACTTCTCCCACACACAGCCAGGGTACTTCTCCACACACCAGCCAGGGTACTTGTCCACAATCCAGCCAGGGTACTTCTCCACACTCCAGCCAGGGTACTTCTCCACACTCCAGCCAGGGTACTTCTCCACACACCAGCCAGGGTACTTCTCCACACTCCAGCCAGGGTACTTCTCCACACTCCAGCCAGGGTACTTCTCCACACTCCAGCCAGGGTACTTCTCCACACACCAGCCAGGGTACTTCTTCACACACCAGCCAGGGTACTTCTCCACACTCCAGCCAGGGTACTTCTCCACACTCCAGCCAGGGTACTTCTCCACACTCAGCCAGGGTATTCTCCACACTCCAGCCAGGGTACTTCTCCACACTCCAGCCAGGGTACTTCTCCACACTCCAGCCAGGGTACTTCTCCACACACCAGCCAGGGTACTTCTCCACACTCCAGCCAGGGTACTTCTCCACACTCCAGCCAGGGTACTTCTCCACACTCCAGCCAGGGTACTTCTCCACACTCCAGCCAGGGTACTCTCCACACTCCAGCCAGGGTACTTCTCCACACTCCAGCCAGGGTACTTCTCCACACTCCAGCCAGGGTACTTCTCCACACTCTAGCCAGGGTACTTCCCCCCCCCCCCCACACATGATTTGATTTGATTAGGACTTGCACATGAGTGAATAGAATTATAAAAGCTTATTGCATGGGAAGCATTGAAAATTGGGTTGGGCAAATACGATTCTGTTAGTGGGATGGTTTGTGAAGGATCTGCCTAATATGGGCAAACAGGCCTGCTGCAATGTTCCTGCTTTCTTATGTGCAAACATTTATGGATGAACATCACCCTGACACAGCTGTTACAGGCCGTGCTGGCAGCATCTACAATTACAGTATTGTGTCCCATTTTAGGGAAATCTTAGAGATGCTAGAAACAGAGCTCTCTGGACAGATATTTTGTGTGACAGTGGTCCAGTGACTCTCAAGCTGGTCCTAGTGGCATTAAAAAGCAAAGAAGGGAACTAACCCTGGAAAAGTACTTGGTACCTTGAAGTCCTTATAGAAAGGGATTCCCCTTCAAAACAATAGTACACCATGCTCTCCCTTCCTCCTGTCTCATCACTCATTAATAAGTCTTCAATAAAGGTAAGTGTCATGTTAGTAATGTTTTACTCTGTATGTCTCATTGTTTTCTGTGTAGGCAAATGCATATTTCATGTAAAAAAATTATTTTGTTTAATACTTTTGGGTGTCTGGAACGGATTAATTTGATTTCCATTATTTCTTATGGGGAAAATTAATTCGAATTGTCAGATTCAGTATAAGACACACTCTCTGGAACAAATTAATTACGTTATCTGGGGGTCCACTGTATAAGCAAGTGTGACTTTTACCAGGATTCTTGCCCTCCACCCCATCCAGCTCACTGATATATATTAACAGAGATCATATGCAACATTATTTTTGCTATAACTTCCCAGGGAGGTGCCTTGGTACAGTATGACACATGTTTTAAGATATAAAATCTTGATGTTTTCTAGAATTGTTGGCAAAACTGAAGATTATGTAGGCAGATGGGTTGCTCTGTGCTTTCTACATACATCATTTCAACACTCCTCATGCAACATAGCCGAGTTCAATTTTGTTGTAAATACCTGGATGTAGTGACTATATTTGATGTGAAAAATATCTTAGGTGAAGGAGGGCCCTGCTTATGCTGCAGGTTAGGTTCTGGGCCAATGCTGTAAAGTGAATTATAACCTTTTTTCACTTTGAAATGCATATAAATGCCTGATAACATGTCTACACCATTGTATATTAAGTGAGCAATATAACTAGGCCTATAAAATGCATTTACAATACACCCATTACTTACCTTAAAATATTTTCATCCTTAGTCTGTAGTGATTGGTGAATATATTTATTGTAGGAAGCTTGAATAAATGAAGAATGGGTATACTAATTGAAAATGGCTGTATTAGCAAAATGCTGAAAAGCAAAGCACTGTAGAGCGGTGCCCTCCTGTACTGTGTGTTTTGGTACACAGTCGCCATTGCTGTAAACTGTCAGTTATTAGAAAAATATTGAAAAAGTCATTTGTGCTTTATGGTTATAACAGAAGTTTGAGAGCGATTGGCCAAAAAGTTACTGAGAAAAATACACAAATAACCCACACAGGAAATGTTGAAATGTCGTAAGCTTTTTTCTTCTATGTGATGGGTTATTTGTGTAGTGTTCCACTCATGGTATTGTGCCCTTTTGTTCTTAACTAAGAAAAAATAAAAGCCGAATTTTTAACAGGTTTTACTCCCGCATAACGTACAGTGTCATAAGTTAGGAAGGTGGTCGTTTGTTTTGAAGTATATACTGTCAGTGCAATTAAATGGCCTTGATTTCAGTCCATTGCAAGGCATAGTTAGTTACCTTTATGACTTGAAGTATATGATATTTTGCATATACAGCCTCTCCTCACTTGACGACGGAGTTCCGTTCCTAAGACCACATTGGTAAACGAATTCGTCACTTAGCAAAGAGCACACTAAAATGGTAGTAGGTTTGTGTTGACCATCTTTGATAATGTTTTAATGGCACTTTTGCATCATTTATAACATTTTTAGTATATTTTTAAATGGTTTATACAGTAGTGTACTGTATATTGTAATAAACAGAATAGAGGAAATCAGCTCTAATATACATTATTTAGGCATGCATACTGGTCAGAGAGCCCGTCACAAATCCGAGTCGTCGGTAAACGAGCATGTCGCTAAGTGAGGAGGGGCTGTACTGTACTGTTCAGTTTAAAAATAAAAAAAATCCATAAAAGCTGCATAAATTTGTATAGCATATAAGAGACACCATCAGAAACTATTATTTGGTGCACATTGTAAAAAAACATATGTATAGGTTTTTTTGTTTTCAAAGTTGCAAATTTGTGAAACTCAAATGTTGTATGTACATGTAATTTTCAAGAATCTGAATCTAGTTCATGTGTTCACATGCACACAACTTTCTAGCTATAAAATTAGTATTATAGTTAGCAGTGTGTGGATAAGTTAAGTCCCGGCCCATGGCCGGGCTCCAAGAGTAATAAGACTCAAGAAACTCATCAAAGGTATTACCAGTGTAGGTTTAGGAAGAGGGAAGCATTAAACGGCTAGCAGTAAGTCTTCAGTAGTGTCTGTGGAGTCGTGTAGCAGTAAAATAGCCTCACTTTTAAACATCTTGTGACGTGAACCATTTTCTTGAGAAAGTTTTCTAGATTCTGGATTTTTTCTAAGATAACAAAAAGTTATTTTTTTGTGCATGTGTGTTTTTGTGTTTTCTTGTGTTTTTTTTTTGTGCATGTTTTTTGTGCGTATGGTTTTTGTGCATGTGTGTGTGCATTTTTTTTGTGTGTGACCACTGTAAATTCATGCATAATTTTTTTTTATTTTTCAGGCAGAACTGGAAGGGTTTGTTCCGTTTATGGTGCGCTGTAGTCTTGGGCAGGAACGTCCGGTGCCCTGGGCACAACTCCCAAGACCTACTTGGTGGCCCAAGAAACTCCCATTCCGTATGCCAACAGCCAATAATACCGGTTCCACACTTGGAGCTCTGGTGAGTTGTGTGTGCATGTGCGTATGTGTGTGCATGCATGTGCATATGTGTGTTGTGTGTATTTTTTAACTGTAGTGTAGGCGTGCCTCTGGCAAGACAGTGATGAAGTGAATGATGATGAAAGTATTTCTTCTTTTTCAGGTCACCCTGCATTGGTGGGAGATGGCTGATGTGTTAATATAAAAATAAAAATTAACATGTTGAGATAGCAAGGAATGTTATACAGTAAGCCCTCTTATAATGGGACTTCACACAGTAGAATAAAAAAAATTGCGTGGAAGAATCTTGATATTATGCTCCCTGACCATCCCCTCTTTTCCTCAGCTTTCCAGTCAGTTTTTCCCAAGTGAAAGCAAGTGATGTCCACTAGACAGCATTATTCCTTACCTAATGTTTGCCAAAATTCGTATGACTTCTAAATCCTTGATTTATATAAAATACCCATATGAAAAGTGACAGGAATATTCCAAGTGCATTTCTTTTAAGAATTCAGAAAAGTTCCATGTTATTCGTTTATAGTCGCACTGTGATTACACATTCCCAGACATTTTACAATTTTTTTCTTAATGCGCTGGGAGCTGTCATCACCTTGCTCTTTTCTCTGTTCACGTTTGAGATCACATCTCTGAAATGCAGTATGTCGCGTTTATCCGCCTAGAATTGGCGTTAGAAATTATACCAGAAAAACGGCTACTTGAATTTATACGCTAGTCGCCTTTCAGTGAAAACATTGCATAATCCAAATTTGCAAATATGGAAGCTTGTAAATTTATGGTGATGACTGTTGGACCATCACACAAATGTTGAACTTAGATGTATGATTGTATAATTCATGTGCATTCTCCTGCAAGTGGAATGAATGTGAATTTTGCATGAATGTAATTCTTGGATATGTCTTTAGAGTGGTTTTTCCCCTCCCATTCAAGAGCGGTGTGATGTTGCTGTTGAAGGGCTCTTGTTCCATAGAACTAGAGTCATCCATCGTGGTTTTTTTTGCGTCCCACTGGAACACTTGGTTTATATCTGCTTGAAAGTCTTTGATGGATGTCACTCATTTGATTTCTAGTATTGTCTGCAAAAGATGATCTGGTGCTTCCTCAGGTCAAACCTAATTACTTCTGCCCCTCTTCACCCCCATCCTCCCAGGGGCTGGATGACCCTTATGGGTTTAACACTTGCCTTTAATTTTTTTTGCAACAAATGGCAGTATCCCACCAAGGCAGGGTGACCTAAAAAGAAAAATGGAAGTTTTTCTTTTTTAAATTTAGTAATTTATACAGAAGGGGTTACTACTCCCTTCCCTTTAAATAACATAATTATTTTTTTAACCAAAAATTTCATTTTTGCACAGGTGGGTCTGGTGCAGCGATGTTATACGTTCCATGGGTGTGAATACCTCTTACAATTTTGTGCCTCACTGGTCTCTCAGAAGCCTGAATCTGGTTACCGTTTTAATGATAATCGGGATGGCACTACTTCCATGTATCATGGATCGACCGGAAAACTCCTCGTCACCTTTAGAAACGAGAACAGGGTGAGTACACTTGTATTTTTGTCAGTTCTTAGAATATTGTTAGTTATTGCTATTGGTTCCTTGCTCATTTTGTTATATTTGTTAGTCATTATTGTTGGTTTCTTTGCTCCTTTTGTTATGTTCCTTTGTTAGTCATTATTTTTAGTTTCTTTGCTCTTTTTATGCTTCTTTGTTAGTCATGATTAGTTTTTGCCTTCTGTTTTTGAGTTATGATTTTTTTTTGGGGGGATTGTACCCACTAAATTCTTTCTTTTTCCTTGATGGTTTATTCTGTGTCACGTGCAGTAATATATGCATAGGGTCAAGTGATTGGGTGTCTCAGTGTTTTATCTATAACGACTGGTGTGGTTGTAAATACAATGTTAGTTGTATGCACCATTAACTCTCAAGGTGGTGCATGGTAGTGTAGTTCACACTTTAGTGCAAGTGATTTTTCACATCAGGAACTTATTGTCACTTTATGATAGAGAAGTATAATGCGTGAATGAAAAATTAAGAGGCTGCATTAGGTGACATGATAGAAGGATGAGCAGCAATGTGCAAGATATTCGTGCTTGCATTGACTTTCTGGTTAGATTCCTCTTTTGTGAGTTCATTCTTACACTATACCATGGCTATTTGTTCAGCCTAAGCATGCATAAAATCTCAGCTTTCCTGTGTTCATTAAAATTTAACAGTTCTTCAAAATATTCCCCCTAAAATATACCCCCAACTCCTTATCTGATAACTCTCCTCTTCCATTTTTAACTGTCAAATCCATTTGTTCCTTAGTCTTTTTCTTCTTATTAATCTGTTACCTTTGATGAGTTCCAAGAGATTTTCTGCTCCTAAAGTCTGGTCTTGGGCCAAGCTTGTCTGGTGCTTGCATGGTCAACCAGACTGTTGCTGCTGGTGGCCCACTGACACGACAGGTAAAATGTCATTAAGTCGAATTTATCCCCATTTTGATAACATGGAGGATCACTCTTGTCTGTCCAGAGGAAAGCTTTTCTAGTATCTTTACAGAAATAGATAAACATGGTGTGTAGGTTCTCAAAATGTAATACTATACAGTACATTAAGGCAAAGTTTGGCAATTCTACTTATTTTTAAGTATCCTGGTTATAGTAGCTATTGATGGTTGTCATGATTAGTGCTCCTGCAGCCTGTCTCACACTTTTAGAAATAAATTATAAGAGGAATAAATATTTTAAAAAGCACACAGGAAAGTATAGCCAGACTTTTTTTTCCTCAGCAAACCGGTTGTATCCCACCGAGGCAGGTGACCTGAAAAGAAAAATGAAAGTTTCTCTGTTTAAATTTAGTAATTTGTAAAGGAGAAAGGGTTACCAGCCCCTTTCTCCCAGTATCTTGGTCGCCTCTTACAGCACGCAGGACGCCAAATGTTTGCTGGTTAAATAGAAGCTTGAACGATTTATTAAATATTACTTACCTTCAGCATACCTGGAGAATGTTTTGGGGATCAGTGACCCCCTCGACACAGTCTGTGACCAGGCCCATTTATATTTACTCTCATTCAGTATACACTTACACGTATTCTCATTTGACTTTCTGAAAACGTTTGTTATTTTCATTTAGTGATATGGAACTGTTGGATTGCCAACAAGTATGGTTATAAGATGACACTGACAGGCTAAACACTTGCTCGTGGATTTTAAGTCAATTCACTGCATGTGTAATATGACGGTATACACTGAATACAGAAAGGCAATGGATGATGTGGTGGTAGTGTCGGGTTGCTGGGTCACCTGCGGTGTGTATGTTTTGGAATATTTTTTTAGGATGAGTTTAGCTAGAGGTTTTGTGAACTAAATATCACTTGATTCTATTTAATGGTATTGTAAATTTATACATGTGCAACCTCTTAAGTGTCTTGTTGTATTTTAATCACAAGCCCTTCACTGTTGGGACCCCTGTAATTAAGAGTGCTTACAACAGGAAGGATTTAAACAAAAAATTCTTCTGAAATGGTAAAGGATTTTTTTCCTGAAAGTGATGACACCAAAATATGAAATTTGATGGAAAGTTCTCAGTCTGGGTGAAATTTATGTATTGGTGGTTTCATCCACTTCAAGTCCTATTTTGAGCCAGTTTTGTCACTGGGTTCAACCAAATTCTTACTACTATATTTTGCTAATATGCCTTTTTTTGTCATTTGAGCACAAGAAACTGCCCATTCAACTATCAAAACTACCCTATAAAGTGTACAGAAATCTGTAATTTGGCCAATTTTACAAAAACTTACAAAAATTCACACTTAAAAACAGTCCAAATTAAACACTGTACGCATTTCAGTCACAAAAGCAACATTCCTCAATTCATTAATCACATCCTCAGACCTCTTTATCACCTTTTCCCTTTATTTTGAATTCGTCCATTACAATAAAATGAAGTTTTCCCTATATCTTTGATAATAAAATATAACCAGTAATGATTGGTCATGGTTTAGGATGACCCTGTGATTGAACCAGGTCTATAAAAGTCCATAAAACAGACTGGGGGAGTAAGGGGACCTTGCCCATCCTCAGGAAAATCATCAAAAGTCAAATATTTCTGCTAATTTGAGCTCAATTTCAAGCTACTTCCAGTCCTGAAACCAACTAAAATCACTTCTCTTTCAGTAGTACATCTTCCATTCTATCAAATGATACCATGAACAACCAATAAAACCATAAACTTCATTCTAGAAAATACCTCAAAGCTGCTGTTTTAACCCTTTCAGGATCGGCAGGCCCTCTCCTAAACTTGTTCTTAGGGTTGGAAATTTTTCAAAAAAAAAAAAAAAATTATTTTTTCTTTTGAAATGATAGAGAATCTTTTCCCGATCATAATGACACCAAAAGTTGAAATTGAGGAAAAAATTTAAAAGGGGAAATTTAAAGCCTCGCGAATTTAGCGGGTCTCGCCGATGTTTACGCATGGGCGATTTTAAAACCCCCCCTTTTGAGCCCTTTTTTTGGCCCAAATTGAAAATTACCAGTCGACAAAAACCCTTTAACTGTTTTGCCTAAATTTTCCCTTTTTTTTCTATTGAAAAGAAACAAAAACCACCCTTTACCCTTTTTAACTACCCAAAAAAAGTTCAAAATTGGCAATTTTGCCTTTTTCACAAAAAATTTTCCAAAAGAGGGCCAAATTTCCAAATAGGGCCAGAAAAAACCCAAACAGGCATTCCTGGCACAAAAAATGGGCTTTTTTTTTCTTTTCTTTTTAGCCCATGCCCCCCCCAGCCCCTATTAATCTTTTTTGCTTTTCCCACTTTGAATTTTTATTTTTAACAAAAAAAAGATTTACTTTTATTTAACTACTGCATTAGCTTGAAATGGTAAAATAATACCCCGGGCCCCTTGTGAAAGAATATTAGACTCACCATTTGACATGAATTGGGTTTCGTGGCATGATTTTTTTTTACTTTTAAATTTTTGGAAAAAAACGAAAAATTTTCTGCTATTTTTAAAGCTAAATTTTCCCAAGGTACTTTTGTTTGTAAAAATCAATCAAAATCATCTAAAATTTTTTGTAAAACGTTTTCTTTTCTAAAAAAATGAGACCAAAAGCCAAACACAACCATAAATGCATAAAAAATTTAACACGAAAGTCGCTTTTTTAAAGAGAAAAAAAAAACCGGTCAGGTTTTTTTTTTTTTCCTCATTATGCACTGTTTTGCTGCCGGGATTTTTTTTAAAACTGGGGAAACACTAAACCCCTTGGGACCCATTCTTTTCATATGTAGGCCTCCAGTTTCCCTCGCAAGATTTAAAAGGCGCTAGAATTTTTTTTTACCCCGTACAGGGGAAACCCCTCACTTTTCGATACAAATCCCTTCGAATGTAAAAAATATGGGAAAGTCAATTTTAATTTTCCCCCCCATAAGAAAAAATTTGGAAAATAAAATAAATCGGCGCAAACACTAAAAAGTAGGGAAAAAAATTTTTTTTACCCAAACTTTGAAATATTAATTTTTAATGTAATATATTTTTCCCCAATAACAAAGGGGCCCCCTTTCTGAAATTTGCCCTTTTCTTTTTCCCAAAAAAAATTTTCCAAATTTTTTTTTTTCCTTATAAAAATGTGCAAAAAAGGGAAGGTAGTAAATGTGATGACCCAAAGTTTTGTGGCTCTCTCGGGAAAACAAGAGGCTAGAGGGATGGGCCCGGGGGCTTGACAGACAGAAAATAAACAGAAATGTTTGTGAAACCAGCAAAAACAAGGGGGGGGGAGGTCTTTCCTGATTTTTTCCCTTATCAGCTCCCCTCCCCCCACCCTCGTTTATGCTAAACAAAATCACCTCTTATCAAAATTTTATCTCCCCTTTATTTTTGTCACGGGCCCAATGGGTGAACTTTTTTCCCAAATGCTTAAAGGGAAACTCATCATCTTCCTCCTACCCCCTTTCCTTTCCCCTTCCTTCCTCCTCCCCCCCTCCTCCCTCCTCCCCTCCCCCCCTTCCCTTTCTTCTTCCTCCTCCTCCCCTCCTCCTCCCCTCCCCCCCTCCTCCCCCTCCTCCCCCTCCCCCTTTCCCCCTCCTTCCCCTCCTCCTTCCCCTCCTTCCCCCTTTCCCCTTCCTCCCCCCTTCCTCCCCCCCCCCTACACATAAATACAAGAATACATGAAAATTTAAACCTGGGATAGCCCAAAAATCCAGAAAAAATTTGCTATACGTGCTTGAAGATTTTAATTTTAAATGTGATGACACAGTCTTGGGGGCTCTCCTGAGACAAAAGGCTAGACGGATAGACGGGGAGTTTGGGCCAGACCCCCAAATAGACAGAAATGTTTTGTTCCACAAAAACAGAGGGAGGGGGAGGGTATCAAAATCGTTTCTTACTCCCCCCCTCCCCTACCCTCTTTTATGCCATCAAATGTCAGCTCTTATCAATGTTATCTCACCTTATCTTGTCACTGTCAGGGGTGAACTGTTTTCCCATGCTTCAAGGGAACTCATCATCATTTTCTCCTTCCCCTTTTCCTCCTCCTTTTCCTTCCTCCCCTCCCCTTCC